CCAGCTCTGCATCAGTCCAGGATAGCACCCCAACTCCAACCACAAATGCTACATCAGGCTCTGCCACCACCACTGTCCACACCAGCACCTCAACTACCAGCTCTGCATCAGTCCATATTGGAACCCCGACTCCAACCACCAGCGCTGCATCAGTCCATACTGGCACCCCAACTCCAACCACTAGCGCTGCATCAGTCCATAATGGCACCCCAACTCCAACCACCAGCGCTGCATCAGTCCATACTGGCACCCCAACTCCAACCACCAGCTCTGCATCAGTCCATATTGGAACCCCGACTCCAACCACCAGCGCTGCATCAGTCCATACTGGTACCTCAGTTCCATCCACCAGCTCTGCATCAGTCCATGGTGGCACCCCAACTCCAACCACTAGTGTTACATCAGACTCTGCCACCACCACTGTCCACACCAGCACCTCAACTCCAACCACCAGCTCTGCACCAGTTCACACTGGCACCTCAACTCCAACCACCAGCTCTAAACCAGATTCTGTCACCACTACAGTCCACACTGGCACCTCAGCTCCAACCACCAGCACTGCATCAATCCATGAAGGCACCTCAACTCCAACTACCAGCACTGCTTCAGTCCCGGGTAGCACCCCTGTTATTTCTACTTCAGACCCTGTTGGCAACAGTACTCACTCTTCAACTCCTAGCCAGCAGTCTGCTACCCCTACCACCCTTGCCAGTGCTAGCAGCAGCACCGTTGCCAGTAGTACGGTACCTGACTCCGCCAGTCACAATTCTCCCCAGTCACCTGTTGAGGTCTCCTTCGTCTTCCTGTCATTTTCTATTTTAAACCACGAGTTTAACTCTTCCTTGGAAGATCCTAGAACCGACTATTATCAAGAGCTGAAGAGAAACATTTCTGGATTGGTGAGTATCTACATTTTTGCCATGCTTTCTTTTAAAAGTAGCCTTCCATAACTGCTTTAATCCTTTACATCAAGCCTAAATCCTTTCTCTCCTACCACAGTTTTTGCAGATTTTTAACCAAGATTTTCTGGGCCTCTTTCATATCAAGTTCAGGTATAGTTGTAGGGAATGGGTATTGTCATAATTGTGGGGAGGGACTGGGGTGCTCTTATGATGGGGGAAGGGGAGGGAGGGAGAGAATACTGAGCCAGAAACTGGGGTCTATGGCTAAGTTGTTTATTTCTTATGACCAGGCGAGGATCAGTGGTGGTGGAATCCATTCTGGCCTTATTGAAGGCCATCAGTGCCGACGAGGTGAAATCAAAGGTTATGCAGCATGGCAAGAATTCCAGCTACGGTCTGATCATCTCAAAAGTCAGTGGTGAGGCTATATCCCCAGCTGCAGTCCAGAACCACAGAGAGCCCCTCTCCTCCAGCCTGGGTTCCTACTCTTCCCTTTGGTGCTAGCTGGGAGAAGACCACCCCCTCTGAGGACCTCTTTGACCACTGCTTTTTCTTTTAGCACGTGACATGCTGCCTCCTTCCTCTGCTCAGTCTTGGTCTGGTGTACCAGGCTGGGGCATTGCCCTGTTGGTACTGGTCTGTGTGTTGGTTATGATAACCATCATCTATCTCCTTGCTGTGGTAAGTGTTCAATTCTGGCCTTTACCAGAATGCTTCTGGTGAAAGGAGCCACTTGGCCCACCATAACCTCATGTCCCCCCAGACTGTGTTTCAGTGCCGGCGAAAGAACTATGGGCAGCTAGACCTCTTTCCAGCCCGGGACACCTACCATCCAATGAGTGAATACCCCACTTACCACACCCATGGGCGTTACATAGCCCCTGGCAATACCAAACGTAGCCCCTATGAAGAGGTAAGGCTAGATCCCACTGGCAGGGTGTTGGGGTAGAGACCTAGTTGGGCCTTAAAAAGTCCAAAGAGGGGCTGGGAAGGTGGCTCAGTGGTAGAGCGCTTGCCTTGCATGCCTGAGGCCCTGGGTTCGATTCCTCAGCACCACATAAGCAAAAAGAAA